GCAGAGGATCCGCTCCCAGAACATCGTGCCCTGTACCGTGTCGCAGCTGCTGGCAGCCGAGCAGGTCGACGAGACTTTCCGGATCCGCGACGTGGAGATCTCCCAGGTGGGCGCCGCGGGGAAAGCAGCGAGCGGGAAGGCTGCGGGTAAAACAAACTCGCTTCCCGGATAAACTCTTCCCTCTTCCAACGCAGGTCACCATTATGGGGATAATCCGGCACGCTGAGAAAGCACCGACAAACATTCTCTACAAAGTGGACGACATGACGGCAGCCCCGATGGATGTCAGGCAGTGGGTTGATACTGATGTAAGCACCGTATTCCTTATGAACATGCTTCTTTAAAAGCTTTGGGAGCGGTGAAGAGAGAAAACCTATCAAAAAGATGTGGCTATTATGAAAAGTGTTTTAGGAATAACATGCCCCTGAAAGCCAAGGGAGATGCTGCTGTAGCAGAGATCACTGGTACTGTTCATGACTCTCCTCCTGTTTTGTAATTCATATGTGGTTCTACTTTGAATCACTCTGAATAATTTTTTAGAGTTTAGCTGCTGGAGCTCAACCGTTACTTCATAGCTGAACTGAGAGGTGTGTGCTCTGTACCTTTGTGTAGAAATACAAGGAGAGGGAGCGAACAGAGATTTTTCTGTGTGGCTCGGTGATTGAGGCAAAGATGTGTACTGATGAATATTGTCTTGTTTTCTGATGCATGCTGGTAATTTTCACTGGTTATGGCAGGCCTTTAAAGCTAGCCCATGTTATTGTAACATATTTGAAGGCAAACAACTGAACAACTTTGGGAGAGTAATTGGGCAGACTTGCAGTTGGCTTAACTGCAAGTTTATCTTAACTGCAAGTTTATCTTAACTGCAAAAAAGGTTCTGGACTGCTTTCATTCCCCTAGTCAAGTTACGTAGTTGAACACCTGCTTTTTTACTATTTGAGGGTTCTTTCCTCTGGTTGCTTTGTGAAAACCTCTCAGAAGTGGACAGGGACAGCAGAGCAGACAACTGGCTTTGACTGCTGTCAAGTGTAGAGTGTGTTCAAACGAGCAAATAGGTTTTTTTCTTTATTTTTCATTTACGGTTATGGTTGCCCAGCTGCTCTTACTGGACATAGGAATGCATGCTGTTTGTGTTTGCTTGAGATAAGCCTTCTTTCCTAAGTAATTTATTGTGATAATTGAGAAATGGAAACGTGAATCAGCAAAACCTTCCTTTCTCCTTTTCCTCTCTGTTAGGAGGCAGGTGGCGAGAATGTTGTGGTACCTCCAGGAACTTACGTAAAAGTAGCTGGTCATCTTCGTTCTTTCCAGGTAAGATGATGTTACCCATCTCTAACTCCTCAAGTCACAAAGTTGGAGCAGTGGTGTGAAGGATTGGCGATCTGGCACAGTGTTAGTGGGCTCTTTTAGAATATCCACTTAATTGTGGTCTTTGCTCATCCTTTCCTGTGGACAAATCCTTCAATGTTTTTGCCAGGGCAGTATTTAATAACACTTTAATTGTTCCTAAATGCAAAAGACAGAGGACCCATTTAAAACGCCATTTTTCATCAGTGCATTGTTTTCAGCAGAACAGAGTACTGGATACCAGGTTCTTGGGTGTTTGTACTGTAGAGCTTAGACCAGCTTCTGGTTAATGGGGATGCTTCTTGTAGCGTATTATGTGATGTGGTTGTCTCATAACTAAATATTATAACTAAATATATGAATGAATATTCAAATAATGGTGCATGTGTTAAAGCAAAGTGCAGTTAATTACCAGCCACTTAGAAAGAGAAGTTACCCTGTCTGCATTGTCTTGCAAAATCACGTATGAAAATGTAAGTCAGAAAGTTCTGGACTAGTTACGTGCAGACAAGCTCCCTACCCACCACTATCCCTGTTCTGGAGAGAATGGTTGGACTGGCTATTAAGCATGTTCCTGTTGCTGTGATGTTAATTTTTTTTCTTTGCCTTTTTTTTTTTTTTTTTCTCTGAAAGAATAAGAAAAGTTTGGTGGCATTTAAGATCATGCCTCTGGAAAATATGAATGAGTTCACCACACACATACTAGAGATTGTGAATGCGCATATGATCCTCAGAAAAAATCTTACGGTATGTACGTACTTGAAGATCCTGATTCCATCTTGGACCAAAGTGTATACCAGTTGTGGGGCTGTTGGAGGGCTACAGTGAAGGTGTAACGGAGTCCTGGCTTCCTTGGAGAGAGATTGGTTGCAGTCCATTTCCAGCGGGAATTTCTTTTGGGAATCTATTTTTAATTACTGTCTCTCTGAAATAAGACTGAGTCTTTAATGCCGTGGGCTTGTGGCAGGCTGTGTAACAACAGCAATTTTACTCTCGTAATTTCAGTCAGCATCAAGAATGCCTCAGTCGTTTTCCTCTGCTGGGATAGCTGATGTGGGGGGCTATGGAGGAGGTGGCAGCCTGCCAGTGAATGGACTCACTGCGCATCAGAGTCAGGTAGGTGCAAGCGGCTTCTCCAGGAACACAGCAGTCGCAGCAGGGGCTACTGTGGCTTGATGTAGGACAGAGAAATGAAAGCTCAGTTACTCTTTGAAGACGGATAGTTCTTCCTCGACCTTGCTGTCCGTCGATGATAGAGAAACCTAGCTGTGTGCTAATGGTGATTCTTGCTTTTGCAGGTGCTGAACTTGATTAAAAACTGCCCTGTCCCAGAAGGTATGAGTCTTCAAGAGTTGAAACTTCAGCTCCACAATATGAGCATGTCAACAATCAAGTAAGTGTGTAGAAACGAGGGATGTTCTGGAAATCCAGGCGGTCCCTCCTGGAGTTTGATAAAAGGAGGCAGAGAGGAAAGTAGTGGGCAAGCCCAGATCCTTACTTGTTCAACAGCACTAGTAATTTCAGATGTTCCCAGTAGGGTGCAGAAGTGAGCCAGAGCTTTTGAAGTCTTCAACAGCTTAGAATGAGCCGTTGTCGGTTGAAGGGCTGATGAAATGCTTCACTCCCTAAACAGTTCAGTAGCAAAGTAATAGGCACCTGGGAGTACTGCAGTGCCTCAGCAGTATTTTCTCCTGTTCAAGGACTACCTTGCTCTCTGCACACCAGTCAAAACTTGGGAATAGACTGTTTCTGTTAAAAGTCCCTTTGCCTTATAACTTCTCCTCCCTGAGACTTAGAAAAACAGTGAAGCCTAAAGACAGTAATTAACATCCATTATCTTTCTGTGTTCTGTCCCCTTTGAAGCAGAGTGGTAGGTACTGCTTTTACCTGGGAAGTACTGAGAGTGGTGGCCTTCCCCTCTGTGGCAGGCAGAGTCTAAGAGCTGCTGGGAGAGCATATTGCCATAGCTTTGGAGAAACTTTCTGTACCTACTGACTGGTGGAGCAGCACTTAAACTGCTCGCAGCATAGAGCCACCGAGAGCTTCCCTTGGCAGATGCCAGAAGGGAACAGCAGGGATGGGGTCTGTAAATAGGAAATCCCTGAGAGGAAGGTGTTGATATGAACTAGTTAGCAATTGCCTTTTTTTTTTTTTATTCCCCTTCAAAGGCAAGCCGTTGAATTCCTCAGCAGCGAGGGACACATCTACTCCACTGTGGATGATGATCACTATAAGTCGACGGATGCTGAGTGAAGTTACTTCCAGCTGGATTTAGTTCTAAGCAAATACTTGTCCATGAATCAAGTTATCCTGCCAAGCCTTGCGACGTGGAAGGTGATCTTTGCTCTTTCTAGCCTGTGAAAGTCCCAGTTACTCTGTGAGTGCCTCCTTGGAATTCAAGGACAAGCAGAACGTATAGGATTCTGTTAACTGGACTTGATTATATGCTGTGACTGTGTGACTGAAAGCATAAACAGACATGGGAAAACTGAACTCCTCAGAGCTTCAGAGCCTCCGGTTTGTTTTTGTCTCCTTAGAGGATGCCTGTGTTAGAAAGAAGAACCTCTCTCTTTCTAATATTGTCCTGGGCAGATTGTCTTTTGTTTCTAGAGCTGTTTCTCCTAACTCAGCTTTCATTCCATTTCATTCACAAAGGTGGGTAGCCAAGAGTAATATTCCACTTATGTACAGTAATCACGAATAGATTTTTAATTGGTTTAGTTTATGCATTTAAATCTGTATTTGTACTATGAGGTGATCTTGTTACTAGAGCTTTTCAGTGTTTCCAATAAAATTTTAACTTGGGTAGTCTTGTGTGCGTGTGTGGCTCTAAAGGCTTTTCTTCTTCCCTAAAGAAGAAAACCATCTGCGTTGACAAAACCTAGGGTTTTGTGGGTAAAAAGCACAGCCCATGCTTTCAGAGTTTCTTTAACTATAGTAATTTTTTTTCCCGTAACTTTTGAAGTAAATTGCTTTAAAAGGTCAAACTGAAGTGAATGATGTCTGGACTCTAAGAAATCAAATAATTGAACTACTGAAGAAAGCTACGCGTTGTATCCAAATATAGCCAGGATCATTTCTGCCACCAAAAGTACTTTAGCTGAAGCTCGAATGAATTGCATCATGAAGTTTTTCTTCTTTAAACTATTTTTAAAGCATAACAAAAAAACCCACTAATTTAGGAAACAGCAGGGTTGATACTGGTGATGCATCAGCGTGGAGATAACGGATTTGCATCTCCTGTTTCTCTGCATAATCCTGCCTTGTTCAGGGAGGCAGCATGCTGAGGGCAGCTGCTTCAGCATATTTCTGTCCTCTTAGTCATTATATGCTTCCTGTTATATAAAATGCCAAGCTCAAAACTACCTTCTGGGAATTGTTTTGCATTTGTTAATAGCACCATTTCAGGAGTTCGTAAATGTTCAGGAGCATTCTTCACTACGACCCCATAAGGTGCGTAGCTGTTCTCACAAAAGGAACCATGGCTTTCGTGGTGAATGCATTCCTGAAAAGCAGGACCTGTGACCTTTCAGGCTGAACGCTGAGACACTGAAACGTGCTTGCTGCCTGCCGGATGGGAGCCTGGTTTGCTGCGCTGCGCTGACCTGTCGTTTGCTGCCTGGTTCCCAGGGGCCCGCTGGAAAAGGAGCACGTGCAGCCAGGGCTGACGCTGATGGGCTCAAGGGGTTGGTCGACTCCAGGTGCTGTGGGAGCTGCAAGTCGTGGGGTTTATGTTACCTGGGACTGGTGAAGTGACCTGGAAGCAGTTCTCCCCTGTATGCACATCTGTGGGCTGGCTGCCGGGCCCAGGACATCTGCGCCTGGCGTTGATGCTGGGGCAAAGCCCGCTGTCCTCCTCAGGTACAGAGAGTGGCACAACTGTAGCCCATAGTGCACTTCCGAGGCTAAATTGTGCTGTAGATGTGTAACAGGTGAACTTCCAGGCTATGGAGTCTAGCAGATCTAGAAGCCAAAAGTACTGTCATTTCCCTTTTGCAGGAGGGGTGCGGGTTAGGAAGAAAATCCCCGATGATTTTTGGAAGTGAAGATGAATGGCATTGCTTGCACTAAAAAGAGTAGTTGTGCGACTTGACAAAACACTTGTGATGTGACTGGAGAGGAAAAACTCATCAGCGGGGGAGGGAGTTTAAGTTTTTGCCTAGTCTCCATTTGCTGTTTGACCTTCAAAGCATCCAAGTGCATCTGCTGTTGTCTGGCTAGTGGGGCAATTTGGAATAGGTCTTAGGGGACAGAAGCGTTGGCTGCTTCACAAAAAGTTTGCATTTAAAACTATCTGTGAACTAACAGTGAAATCCAAACTCAGAATGCTTTTGGCTCAAATAAAGCAGACAAGGAAAAACACTTGGGCATTTTCAGTTGTTCTGGTTTCCTTTATGCTCTGCTCCCCTCCTCCCTGCAACCCATCTTCTCCCCAGCCATAGTGCAGTAATTAGTTTTTCCCCACTGGGAGAAGGAAAAACTGGATTCTGGGGTGACTTAAAACACCTGTTGGCCCCTGTCACTGCAGTGGGTCTCTTGGTTGAAGCTTTGTACATCATATGAAACCATGAAGAAAGCCTGAGAGAGTTGGGGTGGTTCAGCCTGGAGAAGAGAAGGCTCCACGGAGACCTTATGGTGGCCTTTCAATACTTAAAGGGGGCCTATATGGAGAGAGACATTTTACCAGGGCCTGTAGTGACAGGACAAGGGGCAACAGTTCTGAACTGAAAGAGGGTAGGTTTAGATTGGGCATAAGGAAGAAATTTCTTAGGATGATGGTGGTGAGACACTGGAACAGGTTGCCCAGAGAGGTTATAGATGCCCCATCCCTGGAAGTGTTCAAGGTCAGGTTGGACACGACTTTGAGCAACCTGATCCAGTGGAAAGGGTTGGACCAGATGATCTTTAAAGGTCCCTTCCAACACAAACCATCCTGTGATTCTCTGATCCGATAATCCTATGATTTAGGTGGTGTTAATGCTGTTTGCAGGAGAGAGCTGGGTTCTCCCTCCTTGGGTGAGTATTCGGTGAAAGGACCTCAACAGCAATAGTCAGTGTCTCTCCCACAATGCTGATCTGAGGAGAGAGTGCTGATACCAAGTGTAAAACCCAGGGCAGAACCAGAGCCAGAGAAGGAAACCAGACCGAACCCAAACTAGGACTCAAGCCAAGCTTGAATGAATGAGATCCTCTCTGCAGATTTGGGACTCTGCCCTAGGTGCTGAGTGAGGAATGACATGAACCGAAAAATTGAACCCAAAGCTACTCTTCACTGGGAGAGGGGAAAAAAACCCTAGCTTCATCTTAAATGAAATTTAAAATTTATTTTCCAGCTCTGATTTGAAAGGAGTGCAGTGCATGATGCAGGAGCGAAACACCTGCTTGCTTTCGGCGTAAAGCTCTCCTCTTGTCAGCTCTTTTCCCTTAATGCACATCAGGACTATGAGGTTTTTGTCTCTACCACTTTCCTGAGGCTTTGCCAAACTTCCAGTAAAAGAAGAGTTGAACTTTGGTCCTTACTTGGTTTTCAGGTAATTTTTTTGCATCCAATGCCATGAGTGCAGCAGGAGCCTTTGTAGGTGCCAAGAATCTGCAACAGTGTGACAAGCATGCTCGCAAGCAGGAGAGGACCGTGGAGGTCTAGGACAGACGTTGCTTCCAGTTGCAAGTGCAGTTAAAAATGGATGAGAAAGCCAGCAAAACCTAAAGCCACAACGTTTTTACAATGTTTCTGCAACCTTGGTGAGAAATTAGGCCAGAGTGAGAAGTGAGTTTGGCTGTACTTGAGAAAAATGCAGCTTCTGCCTTATGAAAGTGCGTTTCTGACATGCAATTGTACAAATGTGTCACTCAGTGGTTTGAGCCCCAGCTGGGGCATAGCTTGCACTGTGTGAAGTATCTTGTCACATCTCCTCCTAACCCCATCCCACTCCATGTGCCAAACAGTATCTGGACATGCTGGCCTCAAAGCATCTCCAGCTGGAAGCATCTGTAATCCCAGCCCAGACACTGTGGCAATACAGCGGAGCAAAGTGAAATCCGGGTCCCAGGGCCTGGGCATCTCAGTGGCATCTTGGTGGCCACCCAGCTGCATGCTGATCTGGTGCTGTCGGAGAGTCCCATGGGTGACAGCTAAGGACACAGCCCACAGCACAACAGGGGGATTTATTCTGTGCCCAGGGCTGTCCTGACAGCGTACGGACTGCTTGCCTTCAAGGAAAGTGGGCACCTTTCTGCAAGATCAAGGCAGTTGGAGGTTGCCCCGTGGATCCCTAGGGCTGTATTTAGCCTCTGCAAGTAACCTATGTCATGTAAGGGCTAAGAGTATTTGGAGGTGGGGTGGCTTCCAGAAACTAGAGGACTAGAAAGGAAAAATTGCCTGCATTTTGCAAATTGTCTTTTGTATGTTGTCATCAACAGTTTCGTGATTGTGTTCAGCGCTGTCGCTCTCCGTGCCTGGAAGGGAAGAGAGAACACAGCCTGCAGACATGCACCCTGATGGGCCGCGGCAGAAACCCCACGGGGGATACCCCGGCCCGCTCTCCCCACCTCTCTGGTCTGAGCTAAGTCTGGACATGGCAGGGACTGAGCGTGAGGGGGAAGAAGGGTCTCTCGTGGTGTGGTGGAAGCCCCCAGCCTCTGGGGCCACGGGTCCCCTGCGATCTGGGGGGGTGGGAAGGTGCCCCGTTTGATGGCAGATGGAGGCCAAGGGCTTGTCAGCGGTGTTCACCATGCCATTGCCCTTAAGGCCAAGCTTTGCTTCCCCTTGTGCCATGGTCCCTGTGTGGGACAAGGGGTTGGAGTGCCCCCCCATGCATCCCCTCTTGCATGTGGGACAAGGGGATAGGGCAGCCCCCCATGGTCCTTCCACATGTGGGACAAGGAAATGAGACATCCCCCCCTATAGGTTGCCTGCAATATGTGGGACAAGGGGATGGAGCAGACCCTGTGGGTCCCCCAACATATAGGACATGGGGATGGGGCAATTCCTCATGGATCCCCCCCCACATGTGGGACAAGGGGATGGGGAGGTGCAGCCCAGATGGCTGCAGTGCAGACGTCCCCAGCTGAGCATCCCTGCCCCAGG